AGTACCCAAATAGTTTAAGTTACACCTCTAAATGTATATACTAATCTTAAACGACAAATATGCATATTCAATTGATATATATAAAAAAATTAACCAAAAAAAAAAAAAAAAAAAGTTAATACGTACAATACGTTTAAAAAACATCATAAAAAAGCGAAGGTGATCTGGTGATCAGAATCTCGATTCTAAACCGTTGCCACTTGATTCCTCTCAAAGAAATGAATCAGATCACACGATTTTATTTATAACTTGCTGATCAATTCCAACCAGTAAATTTAATAAATATACTTTATTAAAGAAATTCTTTTTAGCAATTTTTAAAAATCAATAACAGAATTCAATAAATTCGATAGATTGCGCATTTGTGCATTGAATAACGATATAAATAAATATTTGTGTTTGATAAAAAAAATTAATATGCATATCAATTTTTCTGTAATTAATTAGTAAATTTATATTTTTAGAGTTAGTACAATTGTACGGTAGTACGATTGTTAAATATAATGTCCGAATGGAACGGAACACAAAGCTATTTTAGGAATGCAGTCAACTAGGCATTAGTTTTACCTAAATAATCTTGATCAATTTTTTTTTTTTTTACATGAATTGAATAAATGAATAGATGAGTGGGCTTTGCATATAATAAAGTTGCGCCTCCTTCGTTATCTAATCCTCAAGAATATTCTTTGAAAAAAGTATCTTTTCTTGGCTATATATAACATTCGTTATAAAGCACGTGAGAAACGTATCCTAAAAGAGTACAATCGTCTTCATTAGGTTCATTAGGCGATATATTTTAATTGTAATGTATATATGTACTTCAGTGTACAGTATAAAATTAAAGAATATTGTTGCACCACATTTTGAATTCCGGCTTAGTTATTTTCATTTTGTGCAACACTGAAGTTTTATATCTGCACGGAGTGTTATCTTGTGACGAGAAACTTCACTCAACAAAATATTTTCATAGAACTTTCAATCGACAATTATCTTTTAAATCCATTATCTTTCTTTCATTGCATTATCAAGAACTACATGCCAACCACACATCCAATGACAGCCATACCAAAAGTTACTTCGATGGATGATAAACATTATAATAAAGATCCAACAAAAAAAGACATACCATCAACTTCCATAGAAGACACAAGCCAAGAAAATGGATATGCCAGTCCAAGCCACAAGACACATAGCAAAACACACCGAGTTTTGGACGACTGTTCCATAAGTATGGATGGTAATAATTCTCATTATTCGACGGAAGACGAAAGTGAACAATTCCATCCTGCTAGTGAAAACCTAGATACCGATGTTGCTATGCAGGAATCAGACATTGAGGATTACTTACACAAACCTGAAGACAATGGCCCAACAATATTACGCGATTCGCCTTTACCTTCGGAGCTACCCGAGTATTCACCACCTGGCGAAGATTCACAACAGTGTGACGGTGGTGAGAAAACAAACCCAAATACAACTAATACAACTAATACAGCTAATACAGCTAATACAGCTAATACAGCTAATACAGCTAATGACAAAGCACAATGTCAGCAAAATACAAATGTTCACGCGCATAGTGTTTCAGCTTCTGATCCTACTGGTGAAGCTACTGCTTCTGATACTAGTAGTAATCGTACAAGAATTAAACCAAAAAAAGTTCTTGGTAACTATACACTAACAAAAACATTGGGTGCTGGTAGCATGGGAAAAGTAAAATTAGCAATACATTCATTGACAGGCGAAAAGGTAACAATGAATTTTTTTTATTCATTTAATTTTTTTTTAAATGAATTATGATATCATTAAAATAATAGATAAAGATTTGATTCTAAATTATTCCATTTGCGCAAAGAAATGATAGTGGTTATAGGCAGTTATTTATTACTTTAAATTCTGAATTTTAAAAACTTATTTTATATGATGAAGCACATGACAATACTGTAATAAAGCGCATCAAGCCTCCTGCCATCACTCCTACTCTTGATTAATAATTTCATTTTTAATTCTTGTATTTTATCAAGTTGGCTGTTAAGATTATCCCAAGAGTACTTCCATCTGACAAATCTCCAGATAAAGACAAGGATTCATCTAAAGATGATAATAAGGAAATTCGCACCATTCGTGAAGCTGCGATAATGCTTTTGTTGAATCATCCTTTTATAGTTCAACTTAAGGAAGTAATGGTGCTACCACACCACTATTATATGTTTTTCGAGTATGTTAATGGCGGTCAAATGTTAGATTATATCATCAGCCATGGAAAACTAAAGGAGAAGCATGCCCGGAAATTTGCCAGACAGATAGTGAGCGCATTGGGTTGGTAACATATAGCAATTTGTTATTATGCTATCAATATTAATATCATACTAATGTGTTATATGCATATATATAATATATATATATATATATATATATATATATTATATATTATATATATATTATATATACATATATAAATTAATAAAATAGATTATTGTCATAGAAATTCTATAGTACATCGAGGTATATTATTTAACTTCAAATGTTTTAAAAGTTTCAATTATTTAGTATCATTATTAGTGTGTAACTCTGAAATATAACCTATGTTATGAATATTCCAGACTTAAAGATTGAAAATATCCTTATATCTAAATCTGG